TCTTTATTGTGAAAAGAAAAATTTTGGGTTAATTGTCAAATTCTAGGAAAAGTAGCTATATACTTTGTTGCCCAGTCTGTGCATAATGCCAAAGTTCAGGGCTTACCCGAGTTTATTTTTCAGTTTTATTATACCCAAAGCAAGGAGGCACAAAAGAATTCCCCCTCTCAAGGACACCATGGTTCAAGGAAAAAACAAACATAAACACTTCCTTAATTCTCAAGACACCTTGTGACCATGCCTTTGGCCAAACATCCTGTTATCCAGCCTTCAGGAGCAAAGACAAGCTAGAACTCTCTGACCTTGAGTCAAGATAGAATCAAGCCACAAACTGGAGTCCTTGTGGGCTCCCAGACCAACCTTTTTCTTTTGGGCCACCAACCAGCTCCCAAATCATGACATAGAGCATAAGAGGAGGTAGAGCTTTTTGTCCAGACTGCCAGATCCCAATAAACATACAGAAACTTATATTAATTATAAATGCTTGGCCGATAGCTCAGGCTTATTACTAACTAGCTCTTACATTTAAATTAACCCATTTCTATTGATTTATGCATTGCCACATGACTGTGGCTTTACTAGTCCTCTGGCATCTTGCTTCTTCAGTGGCTCTGGCTCCTTGTGTCTTTCCAATTCCCCCTTCTTCACCCTAGTCCTTAGTTTGATTGTACCACCTAATCTTATCCTGCCTTGCCATAGGCCAAAACAGCTTTATTATCAACCAATGAGAGAAATACATATTCACTGTGTACAGAAGTATTATCCCACAGCAACAGAGACTTCTTATTAGTTATAAATGCTCGACCTTATCTTAGCTCTTATTTTAATCTATTTCTCTTTATCTATATTTTGCCTTGGGGATTTTTAACTTTCTGTATATCTTACTTTTCTGCTGTCTCTATGTCTGTCTGTCTGGCAGCTGTCTGTCTTCTGGACCTAGGCATGTCACCCTCTTTCTTCTCATTCTCTCTTCCTCCTCCTTCTCCTCTTTCTTACCTTTTTATTCTCTCTGCCCACCAGCCCCATCTATCTTCCCATCCCTCTTCTGCCTAATTATTGGCCATTCAGCTCTTTATTAGACCAACAGGTGCTTTAGGCAGGCAAGGTGAAACAAATGCCACATGTCTTTACATAATTAAGCAAATGCAGCATAAACAAATGTAATACACCTTTACACAGTAAGAGTAATATTCTGCAGCATAAACAATGTAATACATCTTTATATTGTCAAATATTCCACAACAAGGAGGCATATTTCCCTCACCACATGGCAGGCGAGACCCACTGTCCCATTCTCAGACCCTCAGGACCAGCTCACCCATGCCCTTACGAGCAGGGTCAGCTCTACTGTGCTGCCCAGATGAGGTGTAGAACCCTCTCTCTTTAGTGCTTCAGCCGGTGAGGGGCAGGGCCAGTTCTCCCTAATGTTGCAGCCAGTGAGGGGGTGGGGCCAACTCTGTACAGTCCTCTCCTCTCCTCTCGAAGCCACAGACACCAACACAGACTGTGGCTGCATCAGAGCCATGAACCCAGACATGGGCCCTAGACATCACCATGGCCCTGGGTGGTAATCAAGTCACCCACACCAGCCCCCTTCTCACTGCTTCACCTCTTCAGATATGCCTCTGTCCACCCCACCCCCACTTTCTCTCCCCATACCACATCATATAATAGTGCCTGTCTGCCTGGAGCCAGAAGGCACTGGCAGGCTTGTGTTTTCTCCTCGGAGCCTGGGGGCAAACTGCCCGGGGCCTACATGTGTGTCTCCTTGTCTCGCTCAGTCTATCATGGCTCGGGGCAGGACCCGGCTTCCTCCTCAGGACTGCCTGGGGCAGTCCACCCATGGGGAGATGGTCTTTTTTAAAACATTTTTAACTTTGTGCATGTGGCAGTCAGAGGACCATTTGTGAAGTCCGTTCCCTCCTCCCACCTTTTTACTTGGGTGCCAGGGAACTTGTGTTGTCAACGCCTTTACCCACTGAGCCAAGAGATGAAGATCTTTAGAACAGCTAGATCTTCACACACACACACACACACACACACACACACACACACACACACACACACATCAGACCTCCAGTTTTCAGCTAAACTTTCAGGATCGTTTCTGTTCAGTAGGGCCAGTCCCCACAGCTGCACATGTGGCAAACAGATGTTCACAGGGAGTGTGCCATCAGCAGAGGAGAATTGTGTCTTGTTTTTCCTGCTTTTAATTTGTGTCGAAGTGACTGCATTCTGACTTCTCCAATGGTTGGGAATGCCTGTTCTGGTCTGTACCTACCCCAGCCTCCTTGAGAGTTAAGTAATAAATATTGTGCTAATTGCAGTTGTTAATAGAGGCCTCAAACTTGAGGTGTTAGAATCGTTTTCAGAGCTTTTTGTCAAAACAGACCACTAATTAAGTATTTCTCGGTGACACCAGAGCTGATCATCTGGGGACTGTACTTGGAGCACAGTGGCTTAGCTGACATTGGAAGAAGGTGATGGCGTGGAAGCATGCTGGAAAATGAGCAGGATTAATCCAGGCGGTCAAATATGTACACATGATTTCATTTCGCAGCTTTCCTTTAAAAGTAAGTGGCGTAGCTTCTCTGATATGGGGGAAGGCGGTAAAATGTGGACAAGTGGATATCTGGGCTTAGAGCAAAGGACAGCAGGGCTGTCGGAAAGACAGCCTGTAGCATGTAGTTGGGGGCGGGGGGCGGGGGAGATGTCTCCTGCTTTTCCCCCTAAAGCTTTGAGCTAGGAATGCAATACCACCATTACTCTTTTAAAAAGTCTGGTTATTCTAAGAGCATGGATTTGGTAAAATATTCTGAGTCGTCGGCACTTTGATGTGAATGATTTTTAAATCCTTTCCTTTGTTAAACGGTAGAGTGATAGCTTTCCTTTGGGATAGGAAACTGCTTTCCCGCTCATCTGACTTTTCTCCCATTTAGTTAGCTCAGCAGCTCTGTGATCCTTGTCTCAGAAAGGGATGTGGCAGCTGGAAGTGGTGCCTCCTATGGCAGGGTAGTGAGGACCAGGGCATGACAAGAACTGGAAAGAGTGTGGCGTCAAATAAGGAACATTGCCCCACCTCCATCCACCCACCCTCGGACTAGGAAAGGATCTTCTGAGCCAAGCAAGCAGTAACTGAGGAGAGGGAGTTAGGAGGGAGTGATAGTGTCATCTGGAACTCTGCCAGCCCTCTGAGCATGGTGGAACAGTTGCCATCAAATTATCGAGGCTGTGGTTACCTGCAGGGGATCTTAACAAGACTGAGCCCATTAGCGCTCTCTTGTGGAAGGGAGGGAGGGTGCACAGGCTCCTCCCCTCTCTAACAATACATTGTTGGATGGGTACACTCTTAATCAGTGGTGAAGTGACGGGAGCCGTAAGGCTAAGTGACCCTTGATGCACATGCCGCCATATTTGGGGTTCTCTCCTCTTTTCCTAGATCTAAGCCTTGCTTAAGTCTCCATAGCACCAGAACCTCTTCCCACAGATACCAGAACCTCTTCTCAGATATCAGGTGAACGAGCTGCAGTTAAGCAATTAGGCAGTTAGACAAGAGTAGATAGATAACCCCCAGAGCCATAGTCCCTGCTGGCCGAACAGCCCATAATTAAGTCCCTTCCTACTTGCAACCCCCATAATTAAGTCCCTTCCTGCTCGCAACCCCCTTTGCCTACCTATGTATGCCCTGAGAGAAAAATAAAATTTGGAGCTTGATCAGACGTCCTGTCTTGCTCTCATTCTTTGTCTCTTCTCCCTCTCATTCGCCAGCCCTCCCTTTAGGTCCCCGTTGAAGACCCCGCTGGCCGGGGCAGTGAAGCACTGTAAGAAGGCAGGGCAGGAATTCAAACCAGGTGGACCTGAGGCAGGAGCTGATGCAGAAGCCATGGAGGGGAGCTGCTTACTGGCTTGCTCCCCATGGCTTGCTCAGCCTGCTTTCTTATAGAACCCAGGACCACTATCCCAGGGATATCCCCATGCAAAATGGGCTGGGGCTGGGCCCTCCCCCATCAATCTCTTATTAAGAAAATGCCGTACAGCCTTGCCTGTCTCCAGCCTGATCTTCTGGAGGTGTTTTCTCATCTGGGAGTCCCCATTCTCGCGTGTCTGCAGCTTCTGTCAAGCTGACAACACCAGTTCAAGGGAGGATTGTTTCCTTGGTCTGTCCTTGGTGTCCTAGCTGCAGGGAAGGATGTGTGTCCACAGCCTCCAGGAAACCCCACACACCAGAGTGCCTGGAGTGATTGCTGCCTTCTAGCAGGAAGAAAAAAAACAGGGTGGGGGTGGGGTGGGGTGGAGGCAGGGAGAGCCTAAATTTAAAATGAAGTCTTAGGAAAAAATCAGCATGTTGTGATAATTGTGTCCCCGGGCTTTGTGACCCTGCTGTGCTGTTGAGACTGTGTGTGGTTGTTGTAAGATTGTGGCTGGAGCAGGGAGTGAGATGAGCAGTGAAGGCAGGGTGGCTTGAGGTGGGGGTGGGGGTGGGGTGGAGATGATGGCTGCAACTGGGATCTGGTTTAACCCGCATGCTGGCCAACTGCACTTAGATTGAAGGGTGCTTGGGAAAAGGAAGGAGAAGTTAATGGTTACACCAGGGTTTGGGGCTGAGCCAATGGTCATATCATTTCTTGAAATGGGAAAGATTGGAGAGAAACAGGCTTGAGGGGGGTAGGAAATTAGTTTCTTTGGATGGTCTGAATAAGCTCCCTGTTAGATATCAAGGACGCTGTGTAAGTAGCTGGGTCAGCTCTGAACTTTGAAAGAAGCTGGGTCTGCAGTACGTCTTTGGAAGGCATCCTCACATTTAGGTGCTGTGGGCATACAGCACATGAACTTGATACTAGACCTTAGGCTTGGACAGAATGCCAGAGTAACTAACCACTCGTGGAGACAGGTTCCGGCACTAGGTCAACTCAGCATTTACGAGTTACAGGGCAGAGGATGGTGTCCCAGGAATAGGACTTTCATAAGGTGGAGTGTTTTTTAAGAGAGAAGATAGTGTGTTTGTATTATGATATGAATAACCAAACGAGGAGGACGTCATGCTAGAAAAAGATGATTTCAGCGCCAAAGTCTTTAGAGAGTTGTGAACTCATGGAAATGGAATTTATTTACATTAGGGATGCACTGCCTCTTAAGTTTTCATTATAGGTGCTGTCTTAGTTTCTTTTCATTTGCTGTGACAAAGCACTATTTAACTGTGGCTCAGTCTCATCGTGGTGAGGTTCATGGCAGCAGGCAGGCAGGCATGGAGCTGGAATAGTAGCCAAGAGCTACAAGCATGGAGGAGAGAGAGAGAGAGAGAGAGAGAGAGAGAGAGAGAGAGAGAGAGAGAGAGAGAGAGAGCTAACCCAGAAAGGCATGGGCTGGGCTTTTTAAACCCCAGAGCCCACTGCAAGTGACACCCTACTCCAGCAAGGCCACACCTCCTAATCCTTCCCAAACAGTTCTACCAACTGGGAACCAAACATTGGAACACATGAGCCTATGGGGCCATTCTCATTTAAATCACCATGGGTGGCTTCTTCCTTTGTTCTTAACCTCCATATTAATGATTATATAGTGTTAGTGTGGGTGTTTTTGACTACAAGGAACAGAAAACCTGATCACAGAGAACAGAAACCTCCACTTCAGCTTGCTGAAAAAAATTAGTTACAATAGGTCCAGTGAAAAGTCCATGGGGGGGACTTGTGGGAAAGCATATTCCAGAAGTCTGTGTCACATCCCAAAACTGTCTTATCTTGCTACCCAGATCGTCTATGTGCACGACCCAGTTAGATCATCCTTTTGTGTAAAATTAAGAGAGGGTTCCTGCTGCGATAAACAAATTTACATGATAGTCATTTGAAAGCTTCTCTCCTTAAGTGGGATTAACCCCACAGTATTAAATCCAAGATTAAATGAAAAAAAAAAGGAAGCCAACAGTTGGAGGAATATAATGCAGATGACCTAGACCATGTAGGCATTTGGAAAGACCATGTAGGCCATGTAGGCATTTGGAGTTTTTTTTCTGATGGAGCAAGATTGTTTGTTTAAGAGGTTGGTACTGAGACTAAGAGCCATCAGCTGTCACTGTCCTCAGAGTTCACATATTCTAGTTTCTTACGTATACGCCAAACTAATTTAAGAGGGAAAAAATATCCGTAGAAAGCACGTAAGTTCTTTTTATTAGTTAGTAGTAAGCTTTATCAGTAAGTAGTAAGGTAAGGAGGTGTTCAGCTTGGCCCACTAGAGGGCAGCAAATCCTGGTGTCTGGTTTCAGCTGTTCAGCTCATCGCCGTGATGATCAAGGAGCAGCTGTTTAGTGTCAGCAATAAGAAGGGGTGTGGCTGCGCCCAGTGGGTAACGTTTGGAGTGGAGCCCTCTGATCCTTGCATTACTGCCTCACCAGATCTGGGAAGCCTTCCTCCCTCTGTGAACAGCTAGGTACCTTATTTATATCCAGACCTGCTTTTAGTCTGTGGATAATTCAAATTCCTTAGATTATGAAGGAAGGGAATTACATAATGCTATAATTATTCCTGGCAGAGAAAGGCAGGGCCAGGCACAAGCCCCTGCAGCCTGCTCTGCCCTTCACGTGGTACATGGAGCTCTTTGTCCTCGGCAAGACGTGTGAGCAGGAACTCAAGATAAGGGCAAAGGCACCCTTCTCTGAGGACGTGAACCAAGCCTGGCCCTCCTCTCTCTGGACTGCCGCACATGCCCTTTGCTGCTCCAGCAAACGCTGCAGGGGTGCAAGCAGGCTCAGCCCCTGCAGTGGGAAACTGAGCATGTTTGTTACTGAGTAAACAAGTAAAGTAACTACCAGGTTAGATGGGCCGCTGGCAGCTCCCCAGCCTTCCAGAGGGAAGCCAAACAGGTTTGTGGTTTAGGCAACTCAGACCTTCATCTTCATCCGCTTCCAATCTTCCTTCTGTACAGCAGAGTTTGCTGCGTGTGAAGGTCTCACCAAGTCAGCTCGGCATGACCAAGTCCTTGGGCTTAGTCTCCTCAAATGAGGTCTAAACCAAGAGCTAAACTCAGTGGTCACCCACAAAGAGCTCCCAGTCCAGAGACTTCGTTCCATCTCTCTCACTCCCTTTTGGATCTAATTTTTGTCAAGATAATAAATAGTCAAGAGCAGTTTTCTTCCTCTTTTAGCCTCATCCACAATGCAAGTGAGTGACTATGGGAAGAGATCTCTCATCTGTACTGGATTTCCGCATTTTCTTCCTTGTCTGTAAGATTATATCCCTGCCCATCAATTTGTGACTTCTGGTCCTTCTCAGAAGGTCAAATCTTATCAGGCTTGGTCACATGACTTGTTTGGCCATGTGAACCAAAGTATGGACCAGAACTTTTAAGACCATGAGTTTGATTGAGACCAAGGGTCCAGGGGAGGAATTGATGTGATTTTATTATAACCTCAATAGTGATTTTTTTTAAAGTGGCTTAAACATTGAAGGTGCAGCAACCTGGGTTTATTTGTTTGGTGTTTGGTTTTTGGTGTGTGTGTGTGTGTGTGTGTTCACCTTTGCTCTGATCCAAATAGAGATCTCTGCTTTGTTTGAGAAGACACTCAAGGAGCCATTGCCTACCAAGACTCACAAATGTGGTGTCAGTGAAAACTATCCACTGTTGTAAGCCACTGAGAGTTTTAGGATCATGTGTTACTGCAGCAAAGTCACCTAATGCAAATTCCAAGTAGTAAATAATAAATGGAAGATATAAATGTAATAGTCTCAATTCCCAATGGCCTTTATTTATATAAAAGTATATTAAATAAATTATTTCAATATATACAAATAGAAGCTATATACATAGAAAAACCCATATACAAAACCTTTAAAATTTATATAAATATGTGCAAGGTTAACCATAGACACTTTGAAGTACCTTAAGTCATAAAACTCAGTGCAGTTTCTTTATGGAGTAGTCTTATAAAAATAGAACTGGCTATCGATGTTTAATCCCCACCATTGTCATTAAAGTGCTGAATTGTAACACATATCAGAAAGATGCCCCAAGCAGAAATATTCTGCATTTAACACATTAATATGAAAGTCTACCAGTTGCTTTGAACTTCCAAAAGTACCTAGAAGGGGAGACAAATAAACCACATACCGCTTTACAGAAGGACAGCTGTTAGAAAAGTCCACCAGTTTCCACTGTACTGCCCTAGAGCCCATGAACTCGCTTCTCCAGGGCCCTTCCAAAAGTCCCCCAGTGACCTAGTGTCTTCCTGAGTGTAGAATACACAATCTAAAAAAGCATTTGTGCAAGAGACGCTGTAGTGTTCACCAGTCTGTACCGCTCAGTACATTTTAAAGTGACAAATGCTAGTGTTGGAATCAGAGCGTTGGCTGGAATATCGGGTCACAGGGAGCCTTTCTGAAGCAGACTCTTCGAGCTCCACGCTCCACATCCTCTGTTCCCATCGGAGGTCTCGGTAACAGTGCTATGCAGCTCGTGTGGCACTTAGTGGCTTCAGCCTCCTTCCTCTACGCCACTCGAAGTGGGGAGGTCTCCTTCCTTTTCTGCCCAGCTCTGCTCTGTCTCCGCTTGCACAGATATATGGACAGGAGGATGATAAAGATGGTGACCACGAACACCACTGCTCCCACAATGATGAGTGTTTCTGAAAAAAAAAAAAAAACACACACAAAGTCAATTTGGAGGCTCAAATCCCATTCACAGGTGGGCGTGACCCCAAATGACACCATCCTGCTTTTTTGAAATTTGTAGTCTATTTCTTCCAGTTTCTACCACTCTTAGATTAAAAAAGAATTTACCCAACCTCATATGCTTGAGAGAAACTGACAACGGCTATAGCATTAAATGAATCACCCTATGTTCCTAGGATAGAGAAGACCCCCTGGAGTCAGATGCAAGAACAGGCATTGGAAATGTGGCCAAAAGGGACCCTGTGTTTGGTGGCCGAGATCATAGTAGAAGATGAAAGGGAAGGGCAAAGAGGAGATCCAATGTGGTGCAGGAGATGAGGAGACAGTAGCTGGCTGGTGTAGCGAGGAGGCTTTCTAGAGGAAATACCTCAGAGGATAGAGGTGAGGCCACAGAATTAGAGTAGAGCTTAGGAAAGGGAATCTGGAGGCTTGTGGTTCAGGAGCTGGCCCAGAGGGGTGTGGGCCCAGTGGAAAGAACTTTCTGTCAATAGGAGTAAGAAGGCAGAATACTTCAATGTATTCTTGCATTTTAAAATATTATTTTTAGGTTAGCATTTAAAGTAATGGGTTTAATGGTGGCATTTTCATAAGTACATGTAATTAGACTTTGTTCTCATTCATCCCTTGCGCCCATACCCCTTTGTCTTTCTCCAGATAGGCCACCCCTGTACTTTCTTATCACATCTATTCCATTCCCTTTCCCTTATAGCTCTCCCTTCTCTCTCATGGTCCTCTTTCTAGTTCCATGACCTACACACACACACACACACACACACACACACACACACACACACACACGTATATAATTTTAAAATACCACATATATAAGAGAAAACTGTGGCAGTAGTCTTTCTGAGTCTGGCTTACTTGCCTTAACATAATGACTTGAAACTTAACAGGGGTCAGGCCACTGCTCCTGTCCCCTGCCTCTTCTTCCCTGATCGCATGCAACGCCCCTTCTCTATGGGGCCCAGAGGGATATCCACAGGCTTTCAGGCATGACACTGAACACCCAGAGTGTGTGTTCACATACACACACACACACACACACACACACACACACACACACACACACACACA